ACAACAAAATCGACTTTTAGCATCGGCGTTTGGAGGATATTTTGTTTTCCACATTACGGATTCATGGGTATCACGGCATTTGGGCATGACGGCGCAAAGAACCTTTTTGAATAGAACGAAGTTCACGGAATGTATAGTATGGTAATAATGAGAGCGATATAGACGAGGGGTTGTAGGAAGCGGAGTCTTCCTCCTCAAGAGGTCAAATGATGTGTATAAGGAAAGGCAAGATTTAAGCCTAGTAATTTACGAGAACGATGAATGCATAGAGAGAAGAAGACAGGAATTGCATTAATCACGATGCCATTTTGACAACATCTTTCTTTAGTGATGTTAAGTTTGAATTTCCTTTCATGTGTGCTACCTACGCAGCAATGGCCGCTTCAGTAAGTCTACTAATCTCCAACTCGCCATCCCCACCCAAATTATCCAAGCCATGGAACCCCTCTTCCACAACCCATTTCTGCTCATACTTCATCAGCACTTTACACGCATTACCCACGACTAGGAGACCAGGCGGTCTGCTGCCTTCCTCTTCAACTGCCGCACAAACATGTTCCAGCGTCGTCCTGATGACTCTCTGATCAGGACATGAAGCGCGTTCTAGTACGGCGACGGGTAGATCGGCGGGGTACGCTTTGCCGACTAGACTTTCGACTAGAGCGGAGAGACGGTGGAGAGACATGAGGAGGACGAGGGTGCGGGAGGCTACGAATTCGGGTGGGTCGAGGGGCGCGCCTTTGCGGCCGGTGCCGGTGCAGATGAGGACTTGGTCGGCGATGCCGCGGTGTGTGGCAGGTATGGCGGCGAACAGGGGGGCGCTTAGAGCGCTGGTGATGCCGGGTAGCACGCTGGGTATGAAGCCGTGCTCGCGGAAGAAATCATATTCTTCGCCGCCACGGCCGTAGATGTATGGGTCGCCTTGCTTTATCCGCACGACTACTTTGCCGGCTTTCAGGCCTTCCAGACCTAGCTCTAGGAGCTCTTCTTGCGCTTTGTCGGCATTTCCGGGGAACTTTCGTGCGATGTGGACGGTTGCGCGGCGGGGTACGAGGTCGAGGATGGGTGCGGGGACGAGCTTGTCGGCGAGGATGAGGTCGGCGGAGAGAATGGCTTTGTGCGCTGCGCGGGTGAGGAGGTCGGGGTTACCAGGGCCGGAGCCTGCGAGAATGATGCGACCTGGTCGTCGTGCCGCTGTGGTGGCGGTGGGTCCGACCTTGGAGGGGCTGCTGCTGGCGAACTCGCGGAACAGCATGTCGACATCTGCATCTGTGATACCGGCGAGACGACGTAGAGGCCAGTACTCGCATATCTGTGAGAGCCAGCGCATGCGACGTCCCCGTGCAGCTTCCTTGCTCTCCTCCATGATCAGCTTATTGAAGGTTGCTGGCTGCCCGCTGTCTTCTTCCTCAGCCTCTAGATCTTGCGACAATTCTGCCGCATGATCTTCTTCCCATATGCGTCGCCGCAGTGTGCCTAACCTCTCCACTGCATCACCCAGCCGCGGTGGAAGTGACGCCGCAATCTCCCTTTTTATTCTTGCGGAGAGCTTGCATCCCTTTCCAGATGTTGTGATACCGATCTGTAGAGGGCCGTCGGAGTGTGTGGAGAGGAGGGTGAATGAGCAGAGATTCGGCGCATCGGCGACGTTGACTGGTATACGTAGTCTCCGGCAAAGACTCGAGATGTGGGTTGCTGTGGCGAATCAGAGTGAATTCGAGACATACTCTCATGTCACGTACCTGATGTGTGTTTTCCGCCCGCAGTAACAAATACAGCGTCTACTACGCTGTCCACCTCCTCCCGTCCCAGCGTAGTCAAGTCGTCGTCTTTGAAACTCCGCTTTAGCCACTTTACTTCGCCCGCCTCAATTCGCTTGACAAGACCATAGTGAAGTGTAGAGTCTTCGGGCGCGAGCAGTATCGGTTTCGCGCCAACCTCTATTGATCGTGCGCATCGTGCGCCTGCTAGTGGGTTGGACCCGACTATAAGGTGGATGTGGGATGTGGCGTCTACCGCGGTAAGAAGTGCTGGCGCCATGATGAAGTATGCAGAGGATAAATCTGAACAACTTCGAATTCCACGAAGGAGGGGCAGCAATATGAGCAGAGGCAATCGTCGATGCGGTTACTCCTCGGCGGTGTTGATAATGCGCGTGGCACATTATTTGTTCCGATAGCGACGAGCCGATATGGCGCGATCGCACTAGGGCATTCCCGCGGAAAAAGGCGAAATATGAGTGGTTGTTCCGCCCAATGGTCGATGGTGCAATTGACTGCTGTCAGACTTGCGCGGAGTTAGTCCATCTGCTCGTCTTGACCCATGACTATGTTGAGCGCTTTTCGGCTCAACATCACACTGTGTCCTAAGGCGTTGAGCTTTGCCGACGCGGATATCAGAGCGGGGTCTTGGCTCTCCACTCGAATTTTCTCTTTCACGCGGACGTCGTGGTCCTTGTACTTGAACGTGCGGTCGGCTTCATCGTGCGCAGGTGCTCGTGCCCCGCCAAGTGCTGATGCAAAGGTGTTGCGGATGCTGAAGCCAGTGAGCGATGAGCTGTCACCGGCGTTGTGTGGCTCGAGAGTGCGGATTTCGAGAACGAGGGCGGCATCGAAGACGAACAGGTGGAAGGACATATTCGCTGGTAGTGGAGGGTCGAATGTCTGTGATTGTCAGCAGTGCCCGTGTTGGGTGCTCAGGTGCAGCCTACCTTGTCGTCGACGGGATTCTCCCACCACGACGGCTGGACATCCGAGTAGCCCTTCAGTGCAGCCTGCGCTTCCAGTATGTGATCGTGCAGCAGCTGTAGTTGCCCGGAGACGAAGTTGGCATTGGTCGCATCGCCGCCCCAGGTAGCCACGTCGATGACGTCGAGGCAGCTGTTGATGGAGGTCCGAATCGAGGTGAGCTGGGGCACAACGAGCGTCGGCGCATGCGGTGCAGAGGAAATGGCGAGGTCGTACGTCAGCGAGCCTTTGGGCGGTGGGAGGCTTGCGAGGCGCAGCTTGACGTTCTGCACGGTGTGAGCTGCTGCATGGGGACGGAGAGTGAGCGACATACGCCTTTGGTGATGCGCGTGCCAACGCGAGTAATGAGGCCCTTGAGACTCTCGGAGCGCACCGAAGTCAGCACAAGTGTCGAGCCATTCTCCGAGGGCGCAAGCAGGGCAGCGCACTCATCCAGGCCAGCCTTGAGCGACTGCAGCGTCTCGCGCAGTTGCACCAGCAGCCACTCGAGCTCGCGCGCTTGTGACTCTGCCTGCTCGAGTGAGAGGCGGGCGTCATCGATAGGCGGCCACACGGCAGTCGACATGGCGGTGATGGCTTCCAAGTTCCAAGGCACGATGCGGCAGGTTGTTGGTGTCGGGCTGCCCGAGCTCCTCGATGGCCAGGATCCACTGCTCACGCTGCGGATCTCGCTACTATCCGAGGAAGGAAGCCATCCCTGCATCTCTCCGCCCATCTCTTCACGTGCCGAACACATCACGCACTTGCACACACATTAAAGCCCTCCGTCACGATCCGTCGCATCCGCCAGCGTGTTTGCAGACAAGCCGCGGACCCTCTTGTTGCTTGGGCGTGTCGAGCAGCCTCGGGATGATGCAAAGCGCGCGCGATAGTGCCGTAACCCTGTGCGATGAGGGAGCTAGTCGACGACGCCAACAAAGAGCCGATTCACAGGTGCACTACGTCACCCGCTTGGCCGCACCTCATAAACAAGCTTGCCAGGCCTCTTTTCGTCGCGCGTTTGAGACGCAGCTAGCCACGTCGAACCATCCTCCTGTAATCGCACCATTATCGTGCATCCTAATCTTAATAACCTACCCCCTTGCGACGACGACTCTTTTGGGTACCGCACACCATGGCTGTAGCTAGTACGTCGCCCGTCGCTTCCTAATTCGGTTGCGCATCTGCTAACACACCTTCCAGGACCTCTTCTCGCATTCGGCTCGCTGATCCTGGTCGCTGGAGGCCTGCTCTTCCAATTCTTGACCATCCTCACTGGCGGCGTCAACAAGGCTCCTCTCACCAAGTTCTACTTCCTCGAAGCCACCACTGGCGGTATCCCCAACGCACGAAACCCATCGCGATGGACCTTCTTCGCCATCTGCGGCGCCGACCCTGACTCCGGCAACAATGCCAACTGCGGCTCGCCTGTACCAGCGCTGCCATTCGACCCTCCTAGGAACTTTGGCACCCAGGAAAACATCCCCGAGCAGTTCATCGGTACCCACATGTACTACTACCTGTCTCGCTTCATGTTTGCTTTCTACCTGATTGCTCTCTTCTTCGCTGCCATCGCCCTCATCTCCGGTCTTCTTGCGCTCTGCAGCCGTCTTGGAGGGTACCTCTCTTCCCTGATGACCTTTGTCGCCCTCTTCTTCCAGACGCTCGCCGCAGCTCTCATGACGTAAGTCTATGCCAATGTCCAACTTCCAGTACGTCGACTAACGTTCATCAGCGCATGGGTAGTCAAGGGCCGCGATGCCTTCCGCTCCGCCGGTTTCGAAGCAAGCATCGGCAAATACCTCATGGGTTTCACCTGGGCCGCCGTCGCCTGCTACTTCCTCGCCACCGTCATGTTCTGCCTCGGAGGCCGTCTCGGCGGAGACCGCTCTTCCAGTATGCGCCGGAGCCGCTCTACCAAGTCGAACCGCAGCCGGGGTAGCTTCTTGGACACCGAGTCCCAGCGCAAGCCCAGGGACTACTCCCCATAAATTGATATTGAACGAGGATGAAGTGGTCGAAGTGGATGAGGTCCATCAAGGACCACATGGAGGAAAACTGATCTTTTACGCGACGATATCCACGATTTGATTTTGTAATGAACGAATATAATACCTTGCTATAGCGCGCGAGTTGATGCTAGTATTGTACATATGCACATATAGCAAATATACTTCAACCAAAACTACATTCCAAATGACCATCCTATGGAGTTGGTCGGTATAAACACAAGTATCCAGACAATACGCTTACGAAACTCGTACCAATCAAGTCTCATTCCTCCTCCCACCAATTCTCGAACATACCTCGAGTACCTCCCAAATCCAACACCTCGCCACGTCCTCCTCCAATCCCCTTCTCAACCACCGTCCACAAATCAAACGGCACCAACTCATCCTCACTATCCACCATATCCTCATCCTCATCGTCCTCATCCCCGCCACTAACACCCACGTACGCCGTAACCCCCCTACAACTAGCCACACACTCATCCATCAGATTCCAATCTCCATCCGGAACCGCGAGTTCCAACTGCGGGTCGCCGAGCCCCTCGTAGCGCATGATCGGCGGCGCGCCATTGGATAACGCGTATGTAGTTTCGCGGCCCGTGAAGCGCGAAGTATACGTGTGGGGTTCGCCGCGCTTGGAAGGAAGGACGACGGTGTGTGCTTCGTAGTCTGCGAGGGCGGCGTTGTATTGAGGGGGAGTGAGCTTTTGTTTGGCGTAGAAGGAGTTGGCGAGGAGGCGGGAGCGCGCGGTGTGGCCTTCTATTAGGGCGATGGCGGGGTGGGGGATGTAGCGTGTTGTTGTTCTCTCTTCTTCGACATTCATGGCTCCACCTCCATCTCCGTTTGCATTGTCTTGTGAAGTTGGAGTTGAAGCAGCAGCAGACCACGGCGCCGCAACACCCATTCCTCCCTCTCCCAGAAACTGGTTCCAGGGCTTCACACCACTAACCCAGGGACCTGTGTCGTACTCACCCACAGGACACATAGCCTCACCCCTCGGGTCATAGATAACTTGGTCCCACGAATCCGCTTCTGTTCTCCGGCCCCAGATCGTGACTTCGAACAAAGTAATGGTGTCACGAACTGCTTTCTCAAAGTCTCTGGCGCGCGCCACGCCGATGAGTGCGGCGCTGTGTTCGATGGTTTCATCAAGTACGGTTTCGTAGGGGAGGATATGCGCGCTTTCTTGCCAGATATCGAGGAGGTAGAACCAGATCGATTGCATGAGGGGCGTGTCGATGGGGTGGAAGTCGGCGAAATAGTCGAGAAGCGTGGCGGCGCAGGTCCAGTATTTCGCGGTGAAGGCGGACTCGCAGTCGTCGCAGGGCCAGAGGTATTGGGGGCGATGCGGGCAAGGCGGGTGGGTGAGAAGAGATTTGATACGCCTGTAGGCGATGGAGAAGTCGATGTCGTTGCGGCCGAATGTGTAGCGTGTGGCTGTTGGGGGAGAGGTGGAGTGGTCTGTCACTAGGATGATGGGTGGCAGCGGCATTGCGACGGGCTTTAACGAGCGAGAAGCCATCGCGCTTATACCTAGACTTATGTGAGCTGACTTTAGTTAGTGGTAAGAGTGTTGTTTGTGGAGGGCGAGTAGCAATCGAAGTTGATAGAGTAGTGCCAAGACTTGCCGCCTTGCACAATAGATTCAACTTGAGCGGCACACAATAAGAGTCGTAGTAGAAGTGAAAGAGATCCATCGCGTCCGAAGAACCGTACCAAGTCGCTCCCGTCATGCCTACCACTTCGACATGCGACTAAGTGTACTCATCCTCCCATGCTGCATGTTGCTCAACAGCGCTTCCTCTAGAGCCGACTGACTGATACCTGCATCTGTCCGATATGAGTATATCAATCTAAAGGTGGATAATCCCAGGACTCACCATCAATGTCGCTGAAGCTGCTGCCCATACTCGGCGTGCCCTCGCTACCTTCTTTTCTGGATCGCAGTCCTCCACGTCGTGGACTACCGAGTCGTCCTAGTGCCGCGCGGTGGTCCGAGGCAGGACTCATAGGGCTCTTTGCTGCTGAAGGAGGTCCGCCAGAGCTAGTCATCGACGACGCCGTCTCTGTGGTCGCGATTGACTGCACATCCATAGACGCTTGTCTGACGGGCGGAGCATTCCTTGCGCGGGCAGGTTGCAGAACCTTTTGCTCCTTGCTGCTACTAGCTCGGAAGCGTGAGTCTTGCGCGTACTTGCTATTGTTTGGTCTGGTTTTGACTGAAGTTGCAAAAGGTAGACTTGTTTCGTGTGAGCCATAATCGTCAATCTCTTGCGTTCCGTCTCCTTCCTCAAACGTCGAAAGCTCTCGCGGTTTCTTCTGCTGGAAACGCGGCGGGCGCTTGAAGAGTTGGCTTCGATGCGCTGGATGATCAGTATCCGACAACGATGATGAGCTCGAGGACGACGAATCGGGAATATCTGGAGAAACTGCTTCGTGATTTCGATAACTTGGTGGTGAGATTGGCGCATTCGCCCGGTCTTCAGACCTTCTACTTGTCAAGTTAGGTCGCTGAGTGGAGCGTGTGGACAATGTTCGAGCTGGAGCCTGAGTAAGTGCCCGGGATTGAGTGATCGTGGTGGTAGACGGTGTCCTCGAGAGCGAAGGTGCTAATATATGTTAGAAAACATATCTACTGTGGCATCTAAGATGCTTGTCGAGAGACTCACCGGGTATAACCACCTCTGCGCCACGCAAACTCGGACTGTCCTTCGAGCGTCCTGCTAACGCTGATGTAGTCCTCCCAGCTATATTTTGTCAGTAAGATCAAATTATGCTGATGTTTTACATACCTCCAGATCCGGCACTGCCACCCCTTCGCATCGCAACGCCACCCACAGCAGTAAGCGTGCTACCACCAGTCGGCGAAGATGACGGAGCAGCATTCGAGATGCTGACTTTCTTCATTTGGTTACGAACATGATCTAGATGTCGCTCATATAGCCATGCGGCCTGCTGAAGAAGAAAGGTTGGTGGGACTTGGAACTTGTCCGCTCTGTCACATGGTCAGTAAGTCTGACGCATTGCGTAGCATAGATGTACATACAACTCGACCCCTACAATACATTAGCATTTCTTTGAGATAATTTTCGAATTGGGTCCTGGATACTTACAGTTCAAGTCGCTAGTCTTGGAAGACTTGGAAATAACCTTCCATAGTTGGCGGTCTCTCTCAGCATCCCATTGCGCCTATGTCGCGGTCAGATGAGCCCCGGAGACGCGGACAGATGCTACTTTACCTGCGGAGGATCTTCAAAGTCACCCCGGATGAACGGGAGACGTATCAGGGCTGTGAACTGAACTGACGACATTAGAGATGATCTGGTTTAGCTGTAAGAACGTAGAGTGATGAAGGGGTGGTTGGGTGAGGTGTAGTGATGCGGCTAGGCGATCGAATGGAGTAAGGCGTGAATTGATCTACGCCCGGGCTTGTGACCGATTAGGCCGGAGCTGCAATCACGTAACAATGGAAGTAGACGACTAATTCAAACGAACTTGAAATCGTTTACATGCGTTTCCGATGATCATGACTTAATCCTACAGTGCTAATCGTGAATAAGTGAGCCTCGTGTATCAAGGCAACCATCGCAGCCTGGATCAAGCACCGCCACACCTTCCTCGAGAAAGCCACAGCGGCCCCGCTGAAGCATAAAATACTCGACGCGGGATCGTGCATAAATCCCCACCAAACACAGTCACTCCCCGAACTCAACACCAAGAAATCAACTCACGGGAAAAAATGTCGGCTCAAGCGGTCACCACCATCGACATCCAAGGCAAACTGCCCAAGATTGCCTCTGGAAAAGTGCGCGATCTCTACGCCATTGACGATGACACACTACTATTCGTTGCGAGCGACCGTATATCAGCGTATGACGTGATCATGGAGAATGTAAGTCCAACTTCACCAAACTTCAATATTAATTGAAGTGTATTCAAGACCTCAGACTAACGAACCCCCAGGGCATCCCCGGAAAAGGCGCCCTCCTAACTGCCATGTCAATATACTGGTTCAACTACCTACCCACCAAAGTCCCCGGTCTAAAAACCCATTTCCTCTCTTCAGATCTGCCCCCCGCAATCCAGGACCAAACGTCGCTCAAGGACCGCAGCATGCAAGTCCGTCGTCTGCGCATCCTCCCCATCGAGTCCATAGTCCGCGGCTACATCACCGGATCAGGCTGGTCTGAATACACCAAATCGGGAACCGTTAACGGCATCAAACTCCCAACCGGACTCGTAGAAGGCCAGAAGCTACCAGAACCGCTCTGGACACCGAGCACCAAGGCGGAAGTAGGCGGCAAAGACGAGAACATCAGCCCTGAGAAAGCGCGAGACATGATTGGTGATGCGAAGATTGCGCAGCGTGTTGAGGAACTTTCACTTGCTATATACAGCGCTGCTGCAGACCGCGCAGAGGAAGTTGGTATCATCCTCGCGGACACGAAGTTTGAGTTTGGCGTTGATGAGATGGGTGAGGTGGTGCTTGTTGATGAGGTGTTGACGCCGGATAGCTCGCGCTTCTGGCCCAAAGAGTCGTGGGAGAAGAATCTGGGGAAGGCGCAGCCGAGTTATGACAAGCAGTTCTTGAGGGACTGGCTGACGGGTGAGGGGTTGAAGGGGAAGGAGGGTGTTGAAGTGCCGCAGGATATTGTTGAGAAGACGGCTGCGAAGTATAGGGAGGCTTGTGAGAAGCTCACGGGGAAGAGTGCATAGGATAGCTGTGGTTGAGGGTTGATTCGCGTGGAAGTGGTCGAGATGTAAAGAAATGGCGCGTTGATGCTACTTCCATGACACTCATGTGTCTATCACAGCAGCAATGGATGGTAGTTGAAGACCAGAACTCGTGAGCTATGATAAGTCGGATACCCGACGAAGCCTTGCATGCATATTTACTAGTCTCTCCGACCCTGTACAAGCCCCTCCCTTTCTTCCTCATCCTCATCATCAATATGCTTCCCCGGGTGCCGATACAGCACGTAATGCTGCAGCATGAAGATAATATCAAACACAATAGTGATGTTGCCCAGTCCAAACTTGACTGGATTACCAGTAACACCACTCCAATCATTCTCCAGCGCAGAATCAATGCACAACTGTGCGAGCGAAAGCCAGCCACCCGCAAAGTCTAGGAGCATAGGGTATATACTCCACCCCAGTGTCGACTTGCGCTTATAATTGACCCAGGCCTGGGGTATGTATTTGAGGAAGACGGTGAGGAGTTTGACGTAGCCGAGCGTGTAGATCTGCTTCGTATTAGTACAACCGCGTGAGGTTTGAAGAGGTAGACCCAAGATAACTCACAACATCAATCCACGCCCACCCCTCGGCATCGTATCCCCGTCCAGCCCCATTCATCTTGACCAACACCACCACAACCCCAATAGCAAGCACACATCCCCACCATACCCCCAGTATAACCCGACTAACCTTTTGCCTCTTACCAATCTCAAAGCCCCAAATCTTCTCAAAGAACTGACTATATATAATCACGCACATGACTGCTCCATGTGCCGCGAACAAGAAGTCGTTGAACCGCACCGTCGTCTCCGGCGCGTCAGGATGACGTGCCGCATATTGCGCTTTTATCGTCGGCGAGTAGAGGAAGCAGGCGGTGGAGATGGTGTAGCAGGTGAAGCCGAGGACGTTGAGGGTGGGGAAGTCGATGGCGAGGCCGAGCGTGGATTTGCGGAGGTAGTTCGATATGGGTTGCGGGTAGAAGGATAGGGACCTGTGTTGTGGGGTTGGTTAGTTGGGGCTGACAGGAGGAGGGATGGTAGGTGGGTGGTACTGACCACGACAGGAAGTAGGCCCAGCCCAGGACGCGCGATATGGCTCGCGCAAAGGCTTCAAGCTCGGGGGTCATCGTCATGCTGCTGGAAGGCGAGGGCTGCACATATGCGATAAGTATTGTCTGGCTTGCGCGCTCACTGTGGAACGATGGACGAAGCGGAGTTGGAGCAAGTGGAAGACAAAAGAACGTGTGCTATCATAGACAGCCAAAAAATAGAGACATGTTGCTGAGACAAGTACTCATGGTGAGCGCCTGATGCTGCGGCGTGTACTGCACATGTGCGATTGCGACAGTGGAGATGCGCGCATGCCCGCGGGATGGATGACAGGGGTCGGAATGGTTGCTTGCAACGCCGAAGTGCTTATTCGCCGTCGGGTTCATCGCAACCATGCCGACTGTGCATCGTGCCGGCTCTCAATTCAGCCGTATCATCGGAATTGCATACGTGCTATATTACAAAGAGTTCAGCATTGTTAGAGACGAGGTGATGTAGCTTCCTACTTTACAGCCTTAGCAACCCTCAAGGTATAACTTCAGTCCCTCTGCCTGTGCCTCGAAAGACTGCTGCAGACTCTCTCCAAGCGTATCCTTCAAGACTCCAGCAAACAACCCGTGAAACACTTCTATCGACTCATACAACACTGTACCATTGCCTATGTCGCTAAGCGCCTGCCAACGCGTCGAGCTAATAGCGAGTTCCCCCAAGTAATCCCATGCCAATCTTCCCAACTCGGGCTGCACATGAGTTATGCGCTCAGCGGACAACTGCGTGTTCAGGAGATTGTCGGGCGTGTCCTTGTTCACCGGCAGCGGAAGCGCAGGAATCTGCACTCGGAAGAAGAGGAAGTTGCCCTCGACCGGTCGCTGATCAGGCAGGGTGATGTTGCCCTTGGCTGAAGTAGTGAGCGCATAACGCACAAACGGGTTCCAGGCTGCGTAGTTGGCGAAGTCGGTGAGTACGTCCCAGGCGGCGGGGACGGTGCTCTTGATTTCTATGCGTGCGGTCGCGTTGAAGACGCCGGGTGCGACGGCTGGGAGGTTTGTGTATTCGGACTGGGCAAGAGCCGCAGGGAGGAGCGTCAAGGAGACGAGGTTGAGGAACTTGGACGCAAACATATTGGATGGATGGGTTTAGGGTTTTCAGCCTGGGAGTTGCATACTTTTGTACCGGAGCCTACCCGAGGTTTATTGCTACATTAGCCACATCGCTTAGGAGGTGATGCGAGTGTCTCCTGGGATAAATGTCGCCGGCTCCAAAAATGGTAATCTTCATAAGCTTCGGGACAAATCTCCCCTGGGCGGATTACTGGGCATGCAAACCAATAGTGTAATGCCTGTCATTGTGGATGGGACTGAATCCGACGGAGTCGAACGGACGCTGCCTATGTACTTGAGGCCCGGGCCTTGTACATCGCGGACACTAAGCTCACCGCTGGATACTGGCTATCATTGCAGTGAGGTTGGAGATGTGACCTTGGAAGCACGTGCAAGGCGCGGGACGTGTCGCGGCATGTGGGCCATGATATGCATGCGAAGGACGTCACTCCAGTCTCTCGGAATGCATCGCGGAACGCCGCATGTGGCTGCCCAACAACCTGCTCAGGCATCTACCGTGCTCGCTGCAGTCACTTGACATCACTAGCAGCGCGCAATCTGCGAATGACTAGAGTCGGCCAAAGAGGGGCTAGATAGCAGCGCAAAGGGCGGTGCCGGCGGCCGTGATGTGGTGGGCGAATGGAAGGCTGAGGGCGCGACATGCACCTGCATAAGCTATGAGCTGCCCCTCAGCACCGCGACCTGGCCAGCGACACAACTAACTGCACTTACGACGCCCTGCATACATATCTCAACACTTGGGAGCTTAGATAGAGCTCCAACTTGACTCACCTCTGCGCGCCCATCCAGACTTCTCTGCATAACGCGCTGAGGGGCCCCATATCTAGCGTGCCGCGTGAAGCTCCAGCCCCGCGGCTCAAACAACAGCCACAACGACCCTCCCGACGATACCGAGTGACAAGCAGAGATAGGCCCCGATAACGCGCCGAGTCAGGAACAAGGCACCAGTGTTGTTGTGTATAAGTGTCTTGCTGTGCAAGCACGCGCCCGCCACCTCCACGAGTCCTGGTCACGGAGGCGCATGACGCAACGCCCGTTTAGCATTCATCCCAAGTCACCCGCCGCCGTCCTCATCCGTCGCTACCCCCACAACCTCTCTCGCGCCCACGACACCTACCACTTCCTCACGACTGAGCTAGCGCTCCAACAGACCCTTCCACACGCTCCTCCGCAGGTTATATGAGCTCATCGCCCGACAACGCCGCCGAGCATACGACGCCCGTCTCCAACCTCACCTACTTGCACAAGCAGCAGCGCAAGGGCACCAAGGTACAGGACACACCACAAGCACGCGGCCGCAACACGTCGAGAAATGAGTTGGGAAGAAGAAATAAAGCGGCCGGCAAGGTTACGCGCATATACCCGAGAGAGATGTACGTGAAGCAGCACCACCCTTCCCTACATGGAAGGGGCGATGGTGACTCTTGTTCGTACTCAAACGCGACTGACTGTCACAGAACCAAGTCACCTTCGTCAGCCAAACGTCTGTCATCCACGTCTCCACCCACAAACTACCATGCCACTACGTCTCCATTACTATCGGCGATCGGTGCCACTCGAAACACGGCCGCACAATACACCAACGAGTGGGCCAAGTCAGTTCCCTTCTTTCCAAACTCCGGCTCCCCGGGTAATGGGGGCATCGCTATAGCCAGCTCTCCGCCTACCTTTCATAACTCGCCTGGTGCACGAGACGGGCTGTACGCACCACAGGCCATGTCAAACTCACCTCCAGGTGCACGACCCCTGAGCCACCCCAACCAATACACCAACTTTGGTGGACGCGTACAGAACTCGCCTGGAAGAGACCGTAGAGCATCTGTGTACTCTCAACAAGGCGTTCGCCCGCCCTCACAGCAGTTCATGCCGAACCCGCCTCTGCCGCATCAACCTCAAGCACACTACTATGGCTTGCCAAACATCGACTTCGGCCTCAACAACGGCCAGTCCGATGGCATCCAGCCAGGGGAAGGAGGCTACTTCTGTGGTTTCGACACTCTATCCATGGCAGGAGACGAGGCAGCTCGAACTACAGAGAACGTGCTGCTTGTTGGGTCGCAAGGTGGGCTCGATGTCTTCCGGGTTGAAAAGAGCAAGATGGACATTGTAGGTCGACTAGAAGGACTTCGGGGCGCTGTAATAGGCGCCAAGATCTTGCCTTGGATCTCGCGGCACGATCCCTTAGCTGCTTCCCGTCCACTGATCGCGCTTATCCTCCACGGTCCGGTCGTGAAAGACAGCAGAAGCTCTAGTGGAAGCGGTGCATCCTCTGTGGCTGACGATTCGGCGTCTGAGTCACCTAGTAGGCCGTCCTCACGACATGGAAATCAAGAGGGGCAAATCAGTGGTTACCAAACTACGGTCGAAGTTTACTCACTGAAGGAGAGGCGGAGAATGGCTGTCCTGTATCGCACTCCCCTGATACCTCTCACGAGCCCAATCGATAGCCCCATGTTTCAGCCTCCACCTCCAGTAGGCGACTTCGTCATTGATGCGAGGGGGAAGTTTGTTGTTGTGGCGTCTGGTGCAAGTGGAGAAGTCTTCGTATTCGCGCCTTACCACGAAGGTCACTCTGAGTATGCAGAGCGATTCCGCTGCATCGGTAAACTGTGGACATCCGTTCAGAATCGGGAACGAGCCATACATTCAGGCGGTTCCAGTGCCGTTGACGGCAGCCATGACGAGATTCCTCCTGAGAAGTATGGCTTGCCTGTGTTTTCGCTCTCCGATCGTTGGCTCGCCGTCACCCCACCAGCGTCAAGCGCGCTCTACCCTGTCAACGGTATAGCCCTGACTTCACCTTACTACGAGCGCGCTCCGGGCCTTGGGCACCACAGCGTACCGCCTCAGCCATCTCCCAACTGCGCTGTCGATGTGCCCAACGAAGCAGGCTTGATCGATAGACTTACCAGGGAGGGAACACAAGTTGCAATCAAGGGTGCACGTTGGGCCACTGAGAAGGGAATGCAGGCTTTCAAGAGCTACATGAACAAGGGCCAGCAAGGAGCTAACGTGCCATATGGTCAAGATCCCATGCAGCATTACTTTCCACCGACCCATGGCCACAACCAGACTCAGCCAAGACAAGAGGCATCTGTGATCTCCGTCTATGATCTGCAGAGACTGGCAGACGCAGAGGAAACGAGGAATAAGAACGCACTTCATCCGGTCGCCACTATACCCGCGGCTCTCGGTTGCAGCTTCATGTCATTCGCCCCCAGCGGTCTTATGCTCATGACTGTGAGCAAGAAGGGCGACTATCAAGATGTTTGGGACCTGAAGCGCATGAACTTCCGAAGAGCACGTAAGACGTTAAGGGAACAGCCAACAGGACCTTACGTACGACAAGTCGCTCGCTTCACCAGAATGACTGTTGCGAACGTCATCGATGTTGTTTGGTCTGCCCCTCGAGTCGACAAACTGGCTGTCATCACGGACAAGGGAACAGTGCACATGTTCCCGATGCCTGCGTCGGCCTTCCAATGGCCACCAGCTCGGCGCATTCGTCCAGCTGCACCAGCCCCACCAAAGGATGTCGCGTCCCCCACAGGTCCCGCTGGTGTGATGAACTCAGCAATGCAAGCTGTCAATAGCGCTAGGCCTTGGTTTGATGCTGTTCGCGCTAAGAACAGCGTCGGCGGAACTCGATTCAGTCTCAGTGGCTTGGGTGTAACCCCTGCCGCTGGCGCAAAATCTGGCAAAGCCGTCGCTGCCAATGTAGGCAAGTCAATCAACAACATCCGGCATGCCGGCGACAACAAAATGACACTTCCGTCATCGCCTAGCGGTATCAAGCCTTACAGCGTACGCTGGCTTTCTGGTAGAGGTCGTGGTTCGATCGCACTAGCGTCCGGTGGTGTACTTCAGATCTGGAGGGTGCAGATGAGAGCTGCGACAGGCAAGGGGAAATCATCGCATACTGCATCCATAACCAAGAAGAAGACAGTGGAGTTCGGACTTGCTCCCATCTCGGATACCGCACTACCACCCTCTGTCACGGAGCAACTGTTCCCGCAACCTGGTGATCTCGAGCCAACACTTGACTGCTACGGTGACTGGCTTCCTCGCGCTTTGCCTTCTCGCAAGCCTACCGTGCCATCTCTCGCACCACTCAGCTTCTCCGAGATTGAGACGAACCCTCCTTACCAGCCCTTCTACACCGACAAACGTGTCACGCGTTTTGTCTACTCCAGACAAGCACCCGAGGTTCAAGAGAGTAGCAGCGAATACCAGCCCTCGTTACCGGCACTTATCTCCGATCTCCATCACGAAGATAGCTCGCCATGGCTCTTTGGTGAGACCGTAGAGGGAACACGTATCTCCACGCCAATCACTCAGGCGTATGACTCTGGAGAGGATGACATCACGGGCGTTGCCGCCAGGATCGAGAACAAGCTTGTTCTTCGAGACGGCGAAGAGGAGGTAGAGCAGGTTGTCGTCACCACACGACGTCGGCGCGTGAAGAAGGAGGGTATCGACGGCGACGAGGAGGGTTTCTTCGAGGACGATTGCGAGGTGTTGGATTTCGCAGAGGATAGGGTGTGAGCGTGTACATTCGCTCTACCTCTCTTCCATTCAACATGTCCTTCCATACACCACCCCTACATTCGCTACCACATTTGCATCAGATCGGGCGTTGTCATCTTGGGTAAGGCGTAGCAATAGGCGCCGGCGTTTCTTCTTTTTGGGTCAGGAGGAATTCGCATCATTAGGATACCACGCAGCCGACAGCGGCCCTCGGCTTGCAACATCAATACACAACTTAGATAGCCAATAGATGGACTGGGAATTTCAACTACGCTCTATTTTGCGCGACCAGGAAAGCTTAATTGGTGTGCTTACAGTCTAACCTTGCTTCGTACATGACCGTCTTTACTCCATGATCGTGTCTTTAACTCCGTTTATCCCCGTCCGCCGACTATCTCCACCGTGCTGGATGGTCGGCAGCGGATGGTCGGGGGAAATACTAGGTTTTCATTAGAGTATCAGAGGTGTTCATT